TATCTGGTTACGATATCTTGAGTACTGTGTGGGCGCATGTCGCCAGTTGCTGTACCGCTGTTTGCAGGCATGACAAAGTGACAAGAAAACGAGTTTGAATTTAATATGCTGTGGGTTCGAGATCACGTCTGTAGCTCGGCAGTTATGGTCACCAAATAAGCTAGACCCTGTTTGTGTCTCCACGTGATTCTCAGGGCCTCACTCCACCACTCACCATATGTATAACATTAGAATGAATCTTCTGCTAAGCATGGAACCATACACCGCCATATGCTGTCTTTTGTGCATGTGGTGAGTAGTGGAGTGAGGTCCCTTGGGTCACTGTACGTATTCATAAGAAAACAAAAAGAAATAAATGAGAGAGCTACAGGCATCTTCATCCTAACCCCAAGAGAGAGAGAGAGAGAGAGAGAGAGAGAGAGAGAGAGAGAGAGAGAGAGAGAGAGAGAGAGAGAGAGAGAGAGAGAGAGAGAGAGAGCTAGTTTGAACTTGGACTTCGAACTTTGAACTCTGAACTGCTAAAGTCTTGAACTTCATTTAATAGTAATTTAAATTATTTAATACCTTTATTCAAGTTTATTGAAGTTTATTGTGGAGTGTGTTCTTGTTCCCCCCCCCCTCTTCTTTATATATTGCTTTATCAGACTTTTTCTACTCTTGCTGTAGTTTGTGATTTGCAGTGACTACCAACGGGGCTAGCTCAGTTGGTACACCCACAAGCTGCTGAAATACAGACCCAAGTTCGAATCCAGATACAATCAGATGAGCAGAGTAAAATCATTCTGAATTACTTGGGGCCAGTCAGCTCAATAATGATATCTCAAGGCTGTCGCCGTTTAAAAATAAGATAAAAAGAAAGGAAAGAAGGAAAAGAAAGAAAGATTTGCAGTGACTGTGCCAGCACAGTCATGGTCGAATGTCAAGGAATGATTGTTGATCATTGTTAATGTTTGTCATATAGGCCAACAGGTATGTCTTCCTAGGACTCTCCCCCTTAAAGGTTTCACAATGAGACTGCACTGAAGATGGATAAGAGATCTGCTGTTTTGTTTTTCTTTTTTCAATCCGGACCAATCTGGACACAATGATCAGGACCAATCTGGACCAGGTTCGGACGGTCCGGATGGGTCCAGAAATGCAGACTTCCGGATTATGACCGGACCAACCAGAGGTCCGGGTCCGGATTGGTCCAGCGTTCGGGTCTGCAGTAGCCATGGTACTGATCTACGAAATGAGCATACCTTACAGTGCGATATCCTTGTCATGTTATGGTCTCATTTCTGCTCCCATGTACCAGTGTGAAGCATATATATCACATAAACATGCTTTTGGTATGTTGCCTTTCTTTCATCCATTTGTTTGTATTTGTGAAACGACCGTTCCTCGCTTCTGCTGTGCCATATCCAAGCAGCCCAAAGAACCTGTGATGTATAAGGAGGATGAATATGTCTTTTTGGATGGAATGCATGCGCAGGTTCTCGTGATACGTCAGTAAAGCTATGGTGTGTGCAGGAGGAGAGAGACTGCTTTGTTGTTGATGAACCAGTGGTGAGCAAAGTAGAGCACAAGGACAAGGTCCGGGATCTCAAGTATTCGCCAACGACTGATGTAAGTCTTGGACCTGTGGCATTCATTACCCGCTTCTTTCACTCTCCAGTTCCTAGATAGATAGTGTGTGCCTTCCTTCGCAGCACTTCCTGTTAAATCTTATGGACTCTAGCTAGCAAGGTGTACGTACCCATCTGATTCAATTCCCATCATTACGAGTCTTGAACCTTGAACTCGGTTTCATTGTCTGTCGCTCTCCTTGGACAGTTCAGGGTCGGTCCCATTCATTGGCTTTTTGAGACTTGTCAAGCTGTGTCGGATGCATGTGTGCTGGCTGACAACCCTAGATGATCGTTACTCTCTGTTGCCAGAGTACTCCTCCTCCTATGTTTTCTTTTTATTTTGTCAGTTGTTGAAGTATTGTCCTTTTTCTATTGCATTCTCCTCTGATGCAAGCAGTACGTATGCTGTTATGACCCTGACCAATTTCGAGATACACATCCACTGAGAAGTACAATGCCATCCAATTGCAGAAAGAAATGAATGAACTTGAGAGGAGAGAGAGGAGTAGAAGAAGAAGAAGAAATGAGAAAGAAGAAGAAGAAGATGTGCACTAGCAAAGATGATGACAAGGCTCTTCTTCTTCGCCCAACAATCTCCTCCTCCTTATCTCCCCCTTCCCTTATTTATACAAGAAATAATAATACAATGTTGAATGACTGGTCCAGAATCATGTCCGAGTCCCTTTTCTACTGCAGGTATCACTCATGGTCCACCATAGCCATGGCCGCTCTTCTTCTTCAGACTTCTTCTTCTTCTTCTTCTTCTTCTTCTTCTTCAGACTAGCGACTTATACTAGCTGGACAGAGATCAGAGTTGGACTTCGGTGATATGAGACTGTGGTACTTACCTGATTGGAGACT